TGAATCGTAAGGGTTTATTTCCTGGATTGTCATTTAAAAATAGGTATTATTGTACGAAACTCAAGCTTTTTTCGTAAGGATGTTTACTTGAAAGCAGAAACCTCATAATGTCATCCCTTTGTTGCCTTCCACGGTTTTTTGTCAGATGGACATGATAGTTTGTGCGGTTTTCCGCATACCCTACTGCAATGATGCCTTGTGAGTTGTGAGGAATTGCAAGGCTCACACAATCGTTTATATGGTCTCACTTTTAATCCTTTCTTTCCATCTGGGATTCATCATTGTACACCATCATTTGAACCTGCTGGAAGCAGTTGGAGCTTGTCGAATTTGTGTAGCGTTTAGAGAACGTCTCGTACGTAATACCAAAAAGTGCCTGCTAAAAGTTGTTTAAAAATGTTATCATGAGGATGTATTGCGTCTAGGAAGATCCTCTTTTCGTTATCAGAGTAGAGAATTATGCGTAGCTATTGGTTAAAATGATTGGAGATTTAATGCATCAAGCTCACCCCTCATTTACACCTACGTCAACTGCGAAGGAAAAGCTGTAAAGGCCGCCAAGCAAATGGGTGGTACGTCCCACCCATTGGTAGCTTACGTCTTCCACTTACGTTGTAGAACCGCGACGTGCATTTCAGGTTGTTTTCTGACTGATTAGCAGACTTATGATAAGGCAGAGCTTTTGTATTGCCAATTTTGCTTGACGAACGAATGTGCCTTTGGTTTTCCCCGAACTATCTCGACGCTTCTACGCCACATCCCACTTCATCTCCACAAGGCTATGGTTCCTAAAGACTAAACGGCTACATCTAGGCTCCATCTACTCGATATTAATGGAAAAAACTAGAATTCGTGCTAGAAAACCTCCTGAGAAAGAGTTAGGACCAATGAAGCGTAGAGATCGCAGCAAGCTTGTAGTTTGTTGGGAAAGGACGATAGAATGGAGATCGAAATGTTGTTTATTTAGACGAGTAATTGCTGTATTTAAAGAAGCCCTCTGTCACTGTATAATCTTTAAAACTACGCGGCATCACCTAATTAGAGTATATACTTTGTTTTGATGTGTTAACCAGTTATGGAATGCCTCACGACCATAATCTGTTTGAGTTGATTTCTTTGCTTCCTGCAACATGGAGAGGTAACACCACAATTTTTGTTGCTCCTGCTTGGCCATGATTACTCCATCTCCCTTCGATGTCATTTTGCGCGCGAAGTACTAGCTCCCCCTTCCCACCCCCCTACCCTTCCCACTTTTGGATACATTCGCCGCGGAGGCTGTAGATCCGTTAGACTCAATTTACCTCCCTGGTCGTATCATCTTACATCCCAAAATACCAACAAAGAAAATCGGTGACTCAACTCATTTGGCAATTTCATTTCAGTCTGTTGATGCCTCCGATGAGTCAGACCTAATGACCCTCTGCTACGCAGTCTCCCTTCTTGGGCGACGTTGTCTGGGCGGAGTTTCGGGACATTTAAACAACGCGTGAGCAGTGTTTCTCCCTTTTCTCACTTTTGGCCATTCTACTCCCACCAACGCTCTTAACCTCTGCTTTTTGTCTCCGATTTTTCCTAGATTGGAGACATTCCTACATTACCTACATGATGTGTTTAAAGGAGATGTGCAGATTTCTGCAAAAGACGACTGGGTGTTTGCTGATGTGGAACTCCTGAGGGTTGTCGTCACGCCGGCGATGCGAGTGGCTCTAAAGCTATACCAGGTTAGTCAGCTAATCAAATTGAAGTCACCTTTTTTCAAGTTTATGCTAAGTCTTGTGAATGATTCAACAGCGGTTAATTTTGTCACATCTACAAGGTGATTTTGTTACCATAGTTCTTGCTAAGGACAAAATGACGATCAAAATTTTGGTGATTTTATTCAGATGTTATCGACATTTAGATGCGGAAACTCCTAAAATTAGTCTAGTTATCCTAGCAAACTCAGTTTTCCCAACATTATCCGATTACTGTAAATATTTTATCTTATCTCGTAGGTGTTATGTTTGGCAGTAACTAGGATTCTATCTCAGGCTTCATGCTATTAGTGGCTAAGATGTTGGGGATTAAAGTGCTTACTGACTTCAATCATAGCCTGAGTACCATAAACAACTAAGTATTTTCTTTTCAATTACAGGATCACTTCACTTGGAATCCGCTCTCCACCAACCGAGAGTTGTACCGTGCCATATGGAGCACCACGCAGACGGTCGTCATCTGTCACGAGACTGACCCCCAGTGGCGGTCGGCGGTGCTCAATGACGCTGAACGTCTCTTTTCTTTCCGTCGCATCGACTCAGGCACTACACAGCAGTGCTTCCGCTTCATTATGATGAACAAGCAGATCCTCTCCTTTCAAGTCATCAAGGTAAGCACCAGGAACTTTTAATTACCTTTGATGATTCAGAGGACAATTCACTCCTGAATTCAACACAACTATACTACTAGACATGTTCCCCCAGTATAGTTTTTAATCACCATAATCAACCAATGATCAGGCACCTCCCCCCTTAGTATAATTTCTGTTTTTCACGGTTGGAGGATACTGTTTATCACTATGCTAAAGGAAGTATCGGCTTGCCAGAGTGAATGCGTCAAAACCCAGGCTTAGGTGTAATACATCGTTAATCTTCCTCCTTTCTTCATCGTTTTCAATGCAAACATTTTGGACGCGTCATTGTATTCCTTACTGTCAACGCAGCCAATAAGAAATTCGTGATAACACTCTCAGATTCTCTGCCATCAAAACGTACAATATCGCCTGTAAAAACTGCATAAGTTGCTGCATTTTAGCATTCCCTTTGTGCATTTAAAACTAGCCATGTCCGAGACTTTAAGCACTACATGGCCATGAGACGAAATGGATTTTGATAAAACTATCCTCACTTATTTGATACGAGTAATTTTCGCTATCCCTAGCTTAGATTTATCTCTTTCAAAATGCCTCTATTGAAGTCTAATCTAATGGCGTCCTTATTAATATTTTTTGCAACTTTTTGTAATAGCACTGGTTGATAGCAGTAGTAAACGCTATTTTGCGGTTAAGATTCACCGGATTTAGAATGCAATGCTGTGTGATCTTTTGTTCTAATTCTTCCTCCTCTAGCTCAACAGCGAGTGCGTGCGTGGTTTCTGGGCTGGCCAGTTGCGCGAACAGATCTTTCTACGCAACAATAATGCCGAACGCGGGAGCATCCAGCATGCGAAGCACGTGCTGCGCAACCTCATCAACTCTAGCTGCGACCAGCCCGTTGGCTACCCCATCTACGTAAGCCCTCTTATCACGAGCTTCGTGGAGAGCCACCTACAATATCGTAAAATTGCTTGCCCCAACCTCTCCATCCCCGGGCTGGTGAGGTCGCTGTGGAGTCTGCAGGATCGTATCAAGCAGTACTGTCGGCGTAGTTATCGATGTGGTGGCGGTGGTGGGAGCAGTGATGGTGAGTGTTATCCTCTTAAGCGGTATCTTGAGCGCCAAAGAAAATTTCTCGATTTTACAAGTGGTGGTGTGAATCTACTGGATTTTGGTGGAGTTCACCTATCACATTCTTCAAATCCTAATGTTCTACAGTAAGCTTAAGAATGTCGATTCCATTTAAGGGAGTTGGCAGATATGTGAAAGCTTCTGCATGCTTCAAGGCGATATACAAGTTTGCAAAATCGTTGAAGTATTCAAGAAGGTATTAGCAACGGTGAGTGTTGTTGTCCTAAATTATCCCCTAATTTATGAGACGTGTTTTATGGGGGGTTTGAATTGCGAGAGAAATCACTAAAAGATGATACATTTAATTTGCTTCATAGAGGGAAGGCTCCTGACTTCAGCGGTATTGATATATCACCTGTGGATTTTAATGGAGTTCAGCTTTCTTACTTTCGAGCTAGGCGGATTACGACGTTATGCAGTTGAAGCGTCTTGTAGAATTCAGTTAACAGACAGGGGGGCCTAGATGACATGTCAGCTCGTAAAATCGTTAAAAAACTTTGTGAAAGCGTAAACGGTGTCAGCTTTGATGTGTTTGTATAAATGCCATTGAGTAATGTCCGA